CAATTTTGCCTAAGGCCCCATTCACACCGTGCGTGAAATCCCGCTATTTCGCGCATTCAGCCGGCGCGGATAGTTCCCTGATCACCCAAGAAGGGCAAAGGGAAAGGAACTACACTACAGAAAGTAGAAGATGACACATATCACAAAAGACAAGACATTCAGGGAAGGGGAAGACAACACCCAAGTCCCGGTCCACTGGAGCATCCTTCCTGCGGTCGCCACCACCTATATTTACCCCTGGCTGACCTGGGGAAACTCCGAGGAGTCTCTGAACACGTACCATGCTGCCCAAGTCGCCACAAATTTGTGCTGGGTCTTACGAATTGTTGAGGTCAGGTCCTCCATCAGCCGGATCTCCTCCACTCTTCTCACCCACATCTCCACTATTGGTGGTCGGGTCTGCCTCCACAATGCCGGGATACATGCCTGCGCCGCATTCAGCAGGTGAATCAGAAGGGATCGCTTATATGCTTTCCGCGAAAGCGGTGTCAGGTGGAGGAGATACGCTGCAGGAGTAAGTGGAAGGGTCACATCCGTGATCTTCTGCGCAAGGGTGGCAATCTGGGACCAGAAGGGAGCCACTCCCGGGCATTCCCAAAAGATGTGCAGTAGGGAACCCACCTCTCCCTCGCATCGCCAACACGTCTCTGGTACCGCCGGGTACATAGTATGTAGAACTTTTGGGACTCTATACCACCGTGTCAACAGTTTGTATCCTGCCTCCTGATATTTAGTTGACACGGAGGATTTGAGAGCAAAGTGCAACATCCGGTCCACCTGCTCGGGGCTAAACTCCACACCCAAGTCTGTGGCCCATTGACCGACGAAGTACGGAGGGGGAAGGTCCGGTGGGTTACGGAGACAGTCGACTAGATGAGACAGCATATGTCTCACTGGCTCCGCTTTCTCACACACTTTCTCTCGAATTCTGTTCATGGTCGGAGGGGGGGGTCCCCAGCTCGTGATGTGTCTAGAAAGTGGCGTGTCTGTAGGGCGCTCCAAAAGCCCATGGGCGGGTCGGTCAGGTCTCTAATCTGAGCTATGTGCAACCACCGGTCCGCCTCCTGGAACTAAGATAATTTAGTATGCTCCGACGAGGCCAAGGACCTCGCCAGCGGGGTATGCAGACCCGGGGGGAAGTGCGGGTTCCCAGTCAGTGGTACGAGAGGTGAGGGCTGTGGGGAGAGACCTGGGTTGGGCAGTGATCCACTTGTCGCTTTCATCATGGCCCGAACCAATGGGTTCGACCAGTACGAAAGCAGCAATTTGGGATAGATCCAAGGTGCACTCTGTAGAGGCGGAGTGCACTCCAATTGCTCCAGGTCCACCCACAGCTTATGTTCAGAGTTGCAACACCAGTCCACCACCACCGACTGGTGTGCCGCCTTATAGTACATCACCGGGTCTGGGAAGCTCAGACCCCCCTGCTCCCTTAGATCTAGACAGAAGCTGATGTCTCAACCGTGCCCTCTTGTTCATCCATAGGAAAGTTAGAAATTGGGACCTCAGCTGGCGAAGGAACTTCACCGGGATTGACACTGGGAGCGTCTGGAGGAGATATAACAACCTAGGCATGACCACCATATTATTGCGTCCCAGCCACGTAAAGGTGGGACGGTCCCAGGAGGCCAGATCTAGCGTGATGCGTTTTTGAAGTGGGATAAAATTCACGGAGAACGTTTTACGAATATCTGCTGGGATAGCAACACCCAGGTAAGTGATGTGTGTGTCCACCCACCGAAATCTGAAAGAGTCTTTCAACTTTGCCAAACGCCCCTCCGGAAGAGAGACGTTCAGCGCTTCCGACTTAGTCCAATTTAATTTAAAGTCTGTCAGTTGACCATACGCTCGTAATGCCTGCATGACATTGGGCAGAGAGATTTCGGGGTGTGTGATGTACAGCAGCAGGTCATCGGCGTAGGCCGCGACCTTATGCTGTCTCTTGCCACAGTCTAGCCCCTAATGTCCGGGCATCTGTATATAGTCCTAAGGAGCGGTTCAAGTGTAAGGATAAAAATAATGGGCGAGAGTGGGCAACCCTGGCGCGTCCCATTCGAGATGGTAAACGGCTCCGATAGTGTTTCGTTGATACGCACTACTGCTGTGGGGTTCGAGTATAACGACCGAATCCACTGCTGAATGCCTGATCCTAGTCCAATGAAGTCTAGCATCTCCCTCAGAAATGGCCAGCTCACCCTATCAAACGCTTTCTCCGCATCCAAGGATAGCAGGAGGAGCGGCTGTGAGATAAAGCCCACCTGGTCATTTCCTATTAAGTCTCCTAGATATGGGAGAATGTGGGAGGCTAGAATTCGTGTAAACATCTTCAGGTCAGTATTCAGCAGCGAGATGGGCCGGTAACTAGCGCACTGTGCGGGGTCCTTCCCTGCCTTGTGGATTACCGTAATTTGTGCCCGAAGTGCATCACGTGGTAGCGTGTTACCTTCGAGGAGCGAATTAAAGGCCTCCAAAAAATGTGTCCCCAGGAGCTCCTGGAAGGATTTGTAGTAGACTAGAGTTAGACCATCCGGGCCTGGCGCCTTCCCCAGTTTCATAGTCTTTAGGGCCGCCCCAAACTCCTCCACCGATATGGGATTTTCCATGCTTTTTGCAACCGACACGGGCAGGCGGGGCATGCCCGATTCGGTTAAGTACGCCCTGATCGCCTGTGTGCGTGTCTGGGACTCGGACTGACCAGCGTCCTGATGTAGGTTATAGAGGGCCGAGTAGAAAGAGTGGAATTGTCGTGCTATGTCTTTGGATCTGGAGACCAGAAGACCCTCCGTCGAGCGGACTGAGGGTATGTATGTTCGGGAGCGTACGTCTCTGAGGGCATGGACCAGGAGCTTTCCCGGTTTGTTCCCAAATTCGTAAAACGTTCGGCGTGCTCTACCTAACTGGGCCTGTACCCTGTCTAGCAGGAGGTCATTGAGTTCTGTACGGGTCTGGATCAGAGCGGTCAGTGTATCCCCATCTAATGTAGCCCTATGGCGCAGCTCCAAGTCTCGCAGCTGGGTATACAGTTCGTCCACTCGCCGCATGCGCTGCCTCTTCCGCTGGGTACCTATTTTGATCAAAGCCCCCCTAATGACGCACTTATGTGCTTCCCATAAGGTGAGCGGATCCTGCGCTGGGGAGGCATTATCTCTAAAGTAGTGTGCTAACTCCGTTCTAACATTTGTCAGGATCGTTTCGTCTTGCAATAGGGATTCGTTCAGTCACCACGTAAATGGCGAACGGGTCGCTTCTCCCACAAGTATACTAAGGTGCACTGGGGAGTGATCAGATAGAGTCGAGGTGCCTATGGATGTACCGGTCAGAAGGGGCAACGCCGCATGCTGGAGCAGAAAAAAATCTATACGCGAATAAGATTGGTGCGGGGCGGACATATGTGTGTAATCCCTCCCCGTGGGGTCATTAATGCGCCAGGGATCTACCAGCTGGAGTTCAAACATGGACCGTTTGACTCTTTTCCTCTGTGCGTGCGAGATCTGGGAAATCCCCCTTGTGGAGTCTAACTCGGGGTCTAGTACCATGTTGAAATCTCCCCCTAGGATCCACAGTCCCTCTGCAAACGTCTTTACCTGCGACCATAAGGATTCCAAGAAGGTCACCTGTCCCGGGTTAGGGGCGTACACTGCAGCAAAGGTCACCCTGTGGCCATGTAGGTCCCCCTTCAGCATTCTCCCCTCCGGGTCTGCATAAGTGTCTACATATTTCCATGGCAAGGTCTTGGCCAATACGATGCTCACCCCCTTGGATTTAGAATCCCGGGATGGAGCATGGTAAGAGGTGGCATATCGGTGGTTTCCTAGTTTGGGAATTTGCCCCACCTTAAAATGTGTCTCCTGTAAGAATGCTACATGAGACCTCTGTCTCCACAACTCGTTCAATAGGTTTGATCTCTTTTCGGGGGTATGAAGCCCCCTAACATTAAAGGAGGTAACATTGACAATCTGCATGGTGTACTGGTTAACTCACAGTTCTAGTGGAATCTCTTCTGGCAGGCTCATACGGGGCTCCCCAGGTCAGTCGGAGTATCTCCTGGCTTCTCGGGATCGAGCACAAACAAACACTAACGTGGACCAGACAGAGACACTAAGAGGGCAACAGAACAGACACGAGGACAAGACAATGAGAAACAGAGAAAAGAGAACACAAAGTATAGCACTAGACGCACCGACCCTAGTGCAAGGAAGAGAAAGAAAACAAACAAGAAAAAAAAATTAGACAGGTACAACCCAGGCGTTCCTATGGATTAACTCCAACACGGAGAGGTAACACCTGGTATTTGGGGATAGAGACTAAACACAGCTGCCAACAGAGCGAGATATGGAGAACATAACTAAATCTTGGACAGCCAGACGCCCCATGCGTACTGGATCCGGAGGCTAACAGCCAGCCAGGGGCCCGGTCCTGCCCCAGCTCCGTCACATAGAAAGCCAGTACAGGGCCCGGTCCCTCTCCCATTACCCCTCCCCTCCTCCCAACCCATCTCAAACCCCCAGTATATTAACACTGCTATAACCATTAACTCCAATATACCTAATATAACCACGATAGGACCAATTGCTAATTAGGCCACAACATATCACAGCACATCCTCGTTAGAGGAACTTCCCCGTCAACCCCTGCAAACCACTCAACATATCAATCAACGGGCCCCCAGAGCAATCCCGCCAGGGGTCGTGGGGCAGGCAGCCGCCACCCATAAGTAGGTCCCCTAAATCGTTTCAGCAGAGCCATAGTAGTAGGCCTAGTCCGGCTCTCGCCAACCCCCGGCACCCTCCGTCAAAGCAGGTAAGACCAGTCACTCCACCGGGAGACGCTGGGCCTATTAGTCAGGTTCACACTAAGAGGGTCTCAAAGAGTAAAGTTCCAGGGTCTGTGCTAGTAGTGTCGTAGAGCCAATCAGCTTTCCGGATCTCCCGAGCGCTCCCTTCTCGTAGGTCGGGACGTGGATCTTGTGCGGGCACCTCCTGGTGCGGGGGGTCCGCGACTTTCTGGTACCCCTAGACATGGGGCGGAATGGCGTCAGTTGGGAAGGTCTGCTGAGATATCCTCCATTACTCCACGGAGCTCTGCTCACTCACGTTTTGTCAGCGCCATGTTCAGGCCACGCCCCCCCAATGGAGCTGTTCTAATGTACAGCTCCATGTCGCCCGTTGCTGTCGCTTCAGCAGGACCCTTTTTTCCCCGCGGATGTCGCACAATTTTTCTATTTTTGAATGCAGCCCGACGGTGAAGGTCGCGTGATCTTTGCTGGAACGTCGCCCCGAACAGTCGCGCTATCCCGGGTCGCTTGTAAGGTATGTCGCTTGGTGTGAATTGGGGCCTGAGGCATTGATGTTGAACGTTTCTTAAACCCGAGCGCCAGAACTGCAATACAGTACTAAACTTATTTTCAGCGCTGGCACTTTGAGGTAAATAAATGTATTTTGCGTCGCAGTTTGAGCACTCGGGTTCAAAAAGGTTCGCCATCACTGCTATAGAGGATACAGCAGTTTAAAACTGGCCAGCAGTAGGACAATATTAATCAGGGAAAATAGGCTTAACTGATGTATGCCTAACTTTTCTTTTATATATAGGGATAGGGGATGTGTCAATTGTGAGTGTTAAACTGTTCTTGCACTTCGGTTTTTTCCTTTCAAATGATGTAGCAAGGTGCTGTAAACCAAATGGACAGTAAGAATTGAATGCTCCACTTTAAGCACCACTATCCACATAACAGGAAAAAAAAAAAATACAATGAAATCAAATACAATCCCTTGAAACAAAAGCCCATTTTTTTCTAAGGGAAGCCTTGCAGCAAAAAGAAGCTTGCTATGGATGTTTTCGTAACTGATCCTAATCTCTCCCTATGCAGTTTATAAGCTTTCCCTAAACAGCTTCTAATTTCCTGGCTGTTCTATGCCCCTCTTTTATGGAGAGAAGGGCTGGCTTACCCAAAAAACCTAGCTAGCAAAACTCTGCAGCAAAATCATTTAGCTGGTACCATGAAGTCCAGGGAGAACAAAATTATAACAAGAATATAACATCTACAAACTATGGACAGAGATCATGATATACACACTTTCCTACAGGGATTTGAAAGGACTTGTCGTCAGTACTGTTTGCCCAGGGAGCAATGGGCATGGTACGTCATACCAGGGCAGAAACACAAGGCCAGGCATTTGTAAATCTTGCAGAGGACCAACAAGGGCACTATGAGGTCATTAAGCAGGACATTACTAAGGGTACAGTTAGAATCCTTTATTTTTCAGATTTTTATCCACGTTACAAGTAATACTAATAATGTTTAGAGCCGGGGTGCCCATAAGGTAGGGCGATCACTTGTAGATCGCAATGTCCTCTCCTCCCGTCGGTGGGGCTTCTCTGGATCCCTGCTGCTCTCCCCATCTGTATGCAGCGGGCATCCGAGAAGAAGTGAAGGAACCGGCGGCGGGGGAGGGCGGAGGACAGAGCCGCTGTCACAGAACTAATGCTGAGCGGTGAGGAGAGAGAGAGAGAGAGAGACGCTCGGTCTGGATCTGACAGCCGGCGCCTCTCTCTCCCCTCACCGCTTGGCCTTTGTTCTGTGACAGAGGCTCCACCCACCCCCACCCCCGCGGCTAAAGTGCTTCATGACGTATCCCCCGCTTCCTCTGCCCGGGAGAGCAGGGGGGATCCATGGGAGAAGCTGAGCCCCCCTGTGTGCGTGGCCGAGCGGCAGAGGATCGGTACATATCAATGATATGTACCGGTCTTCCGTGCAGCACAAATAACTGTTATAAATGAACAGGATGTGATTTACATCACTTCCTGTTCATTCATGAGTTTCTCAATGGGGAGAAGGAATCACTACAGAGGCTCCTCCCCATTCAGAAACTGCTTGATAGTAAAATATTTTCTTAATGAATGGGAAGCCTCTGTGCTTTGCGATGACTGCAAACGGGTTCGACAACTGCCCGTTCGGCAGTTGTCGAACCAGCAGGCCACTAACTCGCCGCGAATCGTACGATTCCCGGCGGGTTTTCTAGCATGCTGGTTCGACGGAAGACGTGTGACCGTACAGTAGAAACGACGGTCGCACGCCTTCCATACACTGCACGATTCTCGTACGATCGCGGGAATTCCCGCGATTCTCGTACGAGAATCGTGCAGTGTATGGGCACCTTTTAGACGCCGCAGATGGAAAGGGGCAGGACACCTCTCCCCATGTGCAACGTCGGCCACACGAGCACCACGGGAGGATAAGATGCCGGGGCATCTAGGACGCACTGGAATGTAAGCCGGCCGACTCCCTGCGTTCGGGGGCGGGAGGGGGTGTGGGGTTGTATTGAAGTCAATGGCACCGCAGGCGAGGGGCCTGCCTGTGGTGCCATTGACTTCAATGCACATCCACGCCCCCTACCGTTCCTGAATTCAAGTGTTTTTTCGTTGGTAGATCGCATTGAGCTCGTCATTTGAAAAGTAGATCTCCAGACGAAAAATTGTGGGCGCCCCTGGTTTAGAGGGTATTAGTTGTACTGAGATTAAGAATGTGATGGATCCTAAGTGATCTGTACACTTTTTTGATTTGTGAAGTTTGGAAAAGTCTGAAGATTCATGTATAGAAAGCTGTAATCCTATATGTTTAAGGCTTAAAATCAAGTTAATTATGAATATACCTTATAAATGCTATCTTTCTAATGTAAAATTTAGGGCATGAATATAAGACAGAACATTACATTATGGTTTGTTTATTTGCATTTTTATGTCACCCTTTAGTGAATGAGTAGGGATACAAGTACCCCTTACTCATTCACAAGGGGGGGGCTCATCTGGGTACTCCGATGCAAATAAGCCCCCCCTGTCCGCAGATTCCCACAACCAACTCCCCAGGGCTTGGGGGGAAGAGGCCCTTTTCCCCATCGGGACAAGGTGCTTTTCCAAGGGCATGTGGCCTGGTATGGCAGGGAGGGGGGGCGCTCGCCCCCTTTTCCTGCCCTGCCATGCCTGTGCTCAGATTATGGGTCTGGTAGGATTTTTCCCCCCCATTTTTTTGCCTGCTTAAAATTCCTGCCAGACCTAAAGGGCCTGGTATGACATTTTGGGGGAACCCCCACACACTTTTTTTTTTAACTTGGGGGGCGGGGTCCCGCCTAACATTCCTACCAGACCTAAAGGGTCTGGTATGAATCAGGAGGGGAACCTCGTGTGGTTTTTTTTTTCTTCTGCGGACTAAAAAAAAATGTTTTCCTTTTAGTTTGTCACTTTGCTGTAACGAAACTTCGTCTAGAATGCAAATTCGTACATACTACCGCTAACTAATTTGGTCCAAATCTGAAACTTTTGGACCCGAATCCCAAAAAAACTAAATAACAAAAAATTAGAACAAAATGAAACTAAACAAATTTTTGCTGGTGCACATGTCTAACATGTTCACCTCTTAGGCACTCTCACATGGAGTCATCGGACAGAGGACACTGCAGTGTCATGGCTGTGGGCCTGGAATTTTTATTTGTCACAATTTTTTTATGCTTCTTCATTTTTTTTTGTTTAAATAACAGATCCTCTTTATGGAGACATCAGGGGTCTCCAAGACCTCTGTCACCTAGGGATCCCCAGAGAAGCTTTTTGAAGCAGAGATCTGTTGCCGGAGAGTGACACTGAATGTGGAAGTGGTGTAATATACATCACTTCCTGCATTCGGGGACAGGAGAGGAGATCAAAGGGAGACCTGCAGATACTACAAGCGATCGGGTGTCTCTAGAGATGCCCGACTGCTTGAATGTAAACAGCCATCTCTGGCTGTTTACATTTCTAACAGTTTTAAGACTCCCTCCTGCTCCTATAAGGCTCCCGTCCGGCCGTTCAGGAACGGCCATGGATGGCAAGTGGTTAAATGAGGCAAAAAGAAAACAAATCTGAAAAAATAGGCTAGAAACAATGGATAAACTTTACATAGAAGAGACATTCAACCTCCTTCTGAGTCCAGTGGGTTACTAGGCCCAGAGTCCAATTCATATACTGTTCTGCATTGCTGTATAAATGTATTGCTGGGATTTGTTGTCCCCCTACAACCGGCACCATTCTGCATTAGAGTGTAAGCTCCTCTGTACAGAGACTGATGTGACTGGCTCAGTGTTCTCTGTACAGTACTGTGGTATATGTCAGAGCTATATAAATGTATAATAATAACAGTGTGACTGGCTCAGTGTGGCGGTGTTGTCGGTGGTGTGGGGCCTGGCCTAAAGCCGTGTAATGGGCCCCAAAATTTCTGAAGGCTGCCCTGCCTACAGCCTGCTTGCTCTGTACATGTGTGTGCCTAATCTGCAATCAAGCTCAGTGCCATCTTGTGAAAGAAGCTTACTGCACTTCACCTGTGAATGTTGAAAACTGTTTCTCTTCATTGAACTGTGTTACCCCACCTGTCTAAGCTGCTGTTCGTCTTCTTAAAGAGACAGTACCATTTTTTGCAAAAACTTGAAAAATGTCTGGACAAGGCTCTGAACACTCTATTATGGCTCAACCAATGCAGATACATCATGCCTCTGAACCTGCAGACATAAAGGGAGCAAGATTCTGCAGATATTGCTGAACAGATTATATGACCCAAACGCACAACAAAACCGACACAGCAACTCAGGGAAGACTATGAAACCACTAGAGATGAGTTCTCCAGCAATCTGCCAGACTTATGGGACAGAACCTCACGCTGCATGTCAGTTTTGCCACACTTTAATGATCGACCAGCTGTATTAAGAGACTCTATAGATCTGCCGCCTATGAATGTTACCAGCGCCGGTCTGCAAAATACACAGCTTTCTTAAAGGACTCTAATATAGAGGACTCTTCAGCACAACTGACCAAGACTGATGCACTAAACTGACAAAGAGATCTGAGGGCAAAATGCTAAGTATAAGGCAGAACTCTGCATTGATCAACTGTAGGAGACCAGATCTTACAGATCCACATCAACCAAGCTCACAGCACGTTCTTCTAGATCCTTTTGCTCCAGGAACTCAACATTAAGCTATAAGTTAGCAGAGGCCAAAAACAAATCTGGAAATGAATAATGTGCAAAGCTTCGTTTGCCAGGAAGGAAGCAGAAATAGAAGCACAAAGAGCAGCTCACCAAACAGGGGCAGAAGCTCAAAGCAAAACTCTGCAAGCAGAGATGGAAGCTCGCAGCAAAGCTTGCCAAACAGAGATAGAAGCTCGGAGCAAGGCTCGCCAAGCAGAGGCAGAATCCCAAATAAAAATTCTGCAAATGGAAAAGGAAAACGCAGTCAGGGCCGGCCTTAGGCCTTTAGGCGCCCTGTGCAAGAAAGCTTCACAGCACCCCTCAGTGGCCACACCCTTTAGTGGCCCCACACCCATTTTCCCCAATATCCGCACCATTTAAAGACTCCTATTTCTCTCCCCCTCACTGCTCCGTCATCCTGACAGCAGGCAGCGCTCCCTCCTGCGCCCCCCCCCCCCCCCGGGGGGGGGGGGGGCGAGGGTGGGG